ACACACACATTTTTCAATTAATTAAATGAAAAATGGTTTTCTTGCTGCGCCCGTTTTACAATTGACGTAAAATATAATTAAAATTGCGCATACGCAAGGGGGAGAGGAAGGACGTTAAAGGGGCAGACAATACAAATGAAAGGACAAGCCAGACACAGTGCAGCCGCCCTATCGAAATATGTGTGTCAGGGGGACTATGCTCGCTCCCTCTCTTTCTCTCTCTCTCTGTCTCTGCCTCTCTGTGTCTCTCTCTATCTATCTCTGTGTAAAACGATGCGACGCATTCAATCAATGGATTGCAGTATAAAATGCAAAATGCACTTTTATTGCATTTAACAACAAATTGAAAAGCCAACAACAATAACAAACAGCAGCATATAAAATCAATGCAGGCGTAATCTAACGGAAAAACTGTCGTTTCTCAATGATATGAGATTGAATGCTCTATCCTAAGAGTAGTATTTGGGTACCAATGTACATATCTATATAAATGTATTTATGCATATAATACTAGATTTTCCATTAATTGTTTGAGCTTACCTTAGAATCTTAAGGATTTCTTTACTCTTCTATAAAATCTGTCAGAGCTTCTTTAAAATCTTATCAATTCATATGGAACTAGTGTCAAATTTTCATTGCCATCTACGTGTTACACGTAATATAGCTTTATTCAACCTAATTTGTAAAAATAAAACAAATTTTTGCTCTTAAATCAAGTGTAAATGTAATACAATTTAGAAGTAAAACTTCTAATTGCAACAATATTTGCCTTTCTAAAAATTCTAAAAAAATTTTTTAACAAGAGCTGATTGGAATAGATTATTTATTCCTATTTAATTACAAAATAGTATATAAAATGAATATGCAAATTGTGTATTTTAAGCTTCTTTAAATTATAATCAATCTGTGTACAGTTTAAATAGTCAGCGTTAAATGTTTAAGGGGATTCAAATAATTAAACTACTGAAAGCTCACAATGGAAACCTTTCAAATTGCCATCAAAATTTCTTTTCTCTTCCATATTAACTGTGTTATTTACTGATATTATATGTATATACAGAGTCAGCATATTTATTTGCATTGTTTTGGATGAGCTAATCAAAGCGCATATTCAACTATAAATATCATCGTTTGCTTTATTAACTAATGAACCCAGAACAGGTTCTTTGCTTTGTATCTAATTTTGCTAAGTCGAGAAAAGTTCGTTGTTGCTCTGATCGTCAGCATCATTTAGCTGCTTCTACCGTTTCTACTTCTCCTCCTCCTCCTCCTTTGCCTTCTTCTTCTTCTTCTTTTACATCTACATCTACTTGATTACGGTTGGGTTTTATGGCCGATTGCTGCCATTAACTGACATTAAGAGACATTTACGTTTCTGCACGAACCGTTGATGGTCCCTTATATATGCATAGTTGCTGGCCATCTGATTTGCATAGCATCCCATCTCTGAGCCATTCAAAGATCAACCAAAAAACTGCATGGGGTCCACACAGTATGAACGTATCGAAGCTCATGCATCAAGCGATCGAATGTTAAAATCATGTTAGGGCATTTGAATGCCGCAACACAGAAGAAACGCGCATTGCCATGTAAACCATGTAAATGTAATAATAAATATTTGTTGGCTTTTGTAGTGCAGTGTTTTTTGTTTTGTTTTTCTTTTTTCATTTGACTTTTGTATTTATCGTTTTTTTTTTTTTTTTTTCTTTTACATATTTATGCCCTGTAACTATTGGATGTTTGAAGTAATGGGTAGATTGAACTTTTGTCAAGTGTTTGATGGGGGCAGAAGGTAGAAGGAGAGCATAAGGTAGAGGTGTATATAAAAAGTTGTTAATATCTGGAAATTGAAGAACTGAAGCGTTAAGCCTATAGATTCTGTGTGCCTTAATAGTTGACTAAATATTCTACATACATTCATTAGAAATTATACCTATTTAGTAGGTGAACGTTAGAGAACATTTGAGATCTTTGATTGCGCTGGCTTTAAAGTTTATTACAGGGTAACTATAAGTCATGCTCTACTCAACTATTTCCTTTTTTCTGCCGCTTTTATATTGTTGCAAATTTGCTTGTTGCATTCTGCGGCTGTCAACATTTGCTGTCTGTCGCATTGTCTGTCCGCCCGCCTGCCCGTCTGCCCGTCTCTTTCTCTTTTTTGTCTGGCTGTCCCTTTCGCTGTTTGTTGATTGTTTTTTGCATTTAATTTTGCATTACTTTTGTTGCGATGTTGCAGTTTTGATTTCTGCTGCCAGCGAGTTACAGATACGAAAAAAAATAAGGGCGTGTCTCGCCCTCCGTTTCGAATGTATTTTGTCAGTCACTTTGGTTATTCATGCAAAGTTTTGCATGTTAGCTTTGTCCACTTTTTACCGCTTTCACTGCATGGTAAAAGAGACAGACAGACAGACAGACAGCGAGAGAAATAGAGGGATAGACACGGAAAGTGCAACAAATATTTTAATGGTCCCAACTGGCCGCCCACCCACAGGGCAATAGCCAAAAATTGTTGAATTTTGGCCAGCGGGTTGTCTCTCTTTCACCTGTCCAAACGTTGGCGGCCAAATGCAGCGTCAAGCTCATTACGAGCACAATTATAAACATGATGCTGTTTGATTTCTGTAGACGAAAGCGCAAAATTTTCCTAATGAAGCCGGCAAATGCAACGGCAGCCACAGCGGCAACAGCGGCAGCCGCATCAACTAACTGTATTATATGGCCATGGCGAGCTGTAAATGTTGTTGTTGCTTTTTAGCTGTTGACTTTTATGATTTCCATTGCATAGCATTATTATGGACAGCAAATAGAAAACATGGCCAGGCAAAACGAGAAAATCAATAGAAAATCTCCTCTAACAAACTTACAAGCTAAAAATGAAGTGAGCTGCAGGTGAGCCGGGCTCATGGCACATTGATGATCTATGTGCGTATACCATAAATCGTAACAATAACAAACACGGACACTTGGCCAGACAACTGGCAGACAAGCCAAACCCAAAGCAATAGCAGCAGCAGCAGCAGCAGCAGCTGGTGCCAAAGATGAAGCAAAAGCTGCAGTCGAGCATCAGCTCGACATGGACGAACGATTTCACTTGACAGCCACGACCACAGAGAGAGAGAGAGAGAGAGAGAGAGAGAGAGAGAGAGAGAGGGAGAGCGAGAGAGAAGTGAGTGGAGTAGCAACATAGGCAAAGTGATTCGCTTCACTTCTAGTCGGAGCATAACATTTCCCTCGAGCCAGCTGACCTGTACAGGCGGAGAAAAACAATATTCTAAACTCGAATACAAACGACATGGAGTTTAGCTCTTGTGCATGTGAAGTGGCTTTGAGGCTGCAGCTAAGTTGGGATCAATATAAATAGAGATTGGCATTAAAAAAAAGTTATAGGAGCTTTGCTTGGCTTTAAGTTTAAATAAAACTTGGCCAATTTCAATTCAATTTTTTTAGCCAATCATTTTTGCTATAGCTATTTATAATAATAATTGTTTTTTTTTTTTCTTTTTTTCTAAGTGTATGCATCAATGGACAGTGTTCACTGTACGTTCTGTCCGCTGTCAATTTGAAATTGTTGTTGTAACATGAGAAATGTGGAGCTGCTCAGTGTTATCTATGGGGATAGCCATTGCTGCTTGGCAAATGCCATTTATTTGATATTACAACGCTCGAGTGCCGCACACTCAGCTTCCTCTTGAAATATTGTCGCACAAACAATTCACACACACACACACACACACGCACACACAACTCATAAAAAGCCCATTTATAACTGTTAACTTGTACAAAAGTATTTACAGGCGATTTAGCCGCTCACCGAATTACAACCAGCTCACAATTGCAATTGTTTATTTGTGTTTTGTGTGGCAGCAGCTACCGCACCACCCCAACCCAACGCAGCCATCTCAACCACCCAAGCCACCCGCTTGCCGCTGCTTTCCTTTTGGCCGGCAATAAAAAGTGTTGCTGTTGTTGTTGTTTTGGTTGTTTTTGGTTGTTTGGTTGTTTGTACAATGTTGTTTGTTAGCTGTTATTGTTGCTATTATTACAGTTGTTGCTTTTGTTTTTGCTTTGCTTAGCAGCTGCTGCTGCTGACACGCACAAAATTTTCCAATGCAACACTATACAAAAACTCAAGTGCGAAAAATATCCCTATATATATATACATATATACATGTATTTATTATATATGTATATATAAGAGCGAGCAAAATGGGCCGGCATTGTTCTATGGCTGAATGGGTTTTCGCTTAGCTGAGGTCGCGTCGAGTGTTAACTGACACTCGGTCACGGGCACAGTCAGGTGCCAGCTACAGTGAGCACTTGAAACGAAAGCCCAGCGAACGTACATTAGAAAGGTACACCAAACATAGAAATCTCTAATTACTTTCAATTAAATAGTCACAAACAGTAACCACAAAAAAAAAAACTTAGATTCTTATATTAAAATGATTGTAACTTTCTGTAGGAAAGGTTTCGAGCTTAAGAGCTGTTTACCATTTACTTAAAGGCCTTCTCCGAAAATTGCCTAGAAAGGTAGCCGCAGTCGTTGTTCGACTTTCACAACTCTTAAACTGTTTTTCTTTCTTTCAAAATTGCATGCTGCATGTCAGACAGGGACAGCTGCAGACTGACATGAGAATCGCATAGAGCGGCGGCCATTCACCGCATCGCACAAAAACTGTATTTGTTTTAGACCTGCAATGATTACAGCGAAAAGAAAAGAAAATAAATATTTAAAAAAATATATATCATAAAAAAATCAGCAATAATATTTGCATTATGTTTTATCTACTGTCGCGCAGGTCGTATAGTAATTTGTTGTTGTTGTTTGTTTGGAGTTTTGAAAGCGCATTTTGAAAGCATTAAATTTATGTCACCCGACTGGCCATTGTTGACTTTTATGCGTCTGACGCTGTCAGCGCAATATTCCATATTGATTTTTGAATTTTAAATAATAAACAATATATTTATTCTATTGTTTTATTTTTTTCCTTTCGTTTCAGCATTTAAAGGCCAACAATCGATAGGTAAGCGTTCAGCTCTGACTTCTCCTCTCCACAGTTTTTTGTTGTGCTGCTTATTAAAAAGCTGGCATAGGCACTTTAAAAATGGAAAACCGCTTGCACACACACACACGCGCTGCTGCAGCACATTTTTAGTTTCTTGGCATTTGTTTTTCTTCTGCTTTTTTTCTTCTCCAGAATTGGGACAACAAGAGGCATAAATAACCAGCATGCCAACAGATAGAGATAGAGAGTAGCAAGAAAAGCTAAACGAAACTCTGAAAACTCAGTAGCCAACAGCACTTAGAATAGCAAACACAAAACAGGCGACAAACTCATGAGACGGGATTGGGTGCGGAGCGGGGCGGGAGAGTGTTAGTGGGTCTAAAGGTATTGCAACTAAATAAAAATGCGCCTGTGCCAAGATGAGAGACAAAGCGAAGCCTCCGACTCGATATGCCCCTTTGCCCGTTGGCATTGGGCAAAAAGAAAGCGCCGCAACGCCTGGCAAAACAGTTACCGGTTCTGAGACAGACGGACAGGTTTACTTTTCCGTTGGGTACGCTATCTAAGTGTGTGTGTGTGTGCGTGTGCGTGTGCCGCTGCGTGGCTGTGAGTGACAAATCAAGCGAGAAAAAAAGCCCGTGCGAGAACCGCTTGAAACGTCAATGGCCAGCAGAGCAGCTGTTGCAATTGCCGACTAACCGAGTGCAACCACTAAAAAGTACTTGCTAGAGATGGGCGCGTGAGTGGGATTGCAAAATGAGAGAACAGTTCGAAATAATAAGAATATGAATTATTAAATAAAGTAATATAGAATAAGAGAAGATTTGGCGATAATAAGTATGAGAATTGTAGTATAGTAATATTAGATGTTAAAAGACATGAAATATGTCTATAGGGTAGAATCGTGTAACAATCGATAGACTATTGATATATTTATTGTGATTGGGCTGGAGTTCAAATAAGAGCTGTGGGGTATAATAGCATAGCTATTATTAGTCATCTGAAGTAATTATACCCTGTGAAGTAATTATAGTCTGTGAGACTAGGTTTTAATGTAGAAATACCATGAAATAATAAGATATATCAAATTATTTTTCTCATTTTAATTTCAAATTGAATATTCCCATAAATACACTTAAAGTTAACTTTATTGCTACTATTCCTATGCCCCTGCCCATATTCTGCTGCTAAAGTTCGTTTCCACTTGCACCGTGTCACACTCTCCGCTCTATTAGCCGCTGCATAATGGCTGCAGGAAATTGAAAAACTTGCCAGTTGCGGCTGTTGTTCTTGTTCCTCTAGCTGTGGCTGGGGCTGTGGCTGTGGCTGTGCTATGGCTGTGGCTCTGCAGTTAGTTGCTGTTGCACTTTCTTTGCGCTCAGCCCGAAAAGTCGCCCCCTGGTGCACGTCGACGGTGTCAGAAGCCAAACACTTTGGCTTGTTTTTCGTTCACACCCAGCGAGCTGGCTCAGCCACAGCAGCAGCAGCAACAGCAGCAGCCACAGCAGTTGCTCTTTGATGATTTATGCGCCTTTATTGCATATCGCTTTAACTCGGAGATCTTAACGTAAACGCCGCGGCGCTGCAACTAATCTATCTTAAACTGGATGCTGTTTGAGCTTCCAGCCTCGAGCTTCGAGCGTGTTGCGTGCTGTAGCCGTTGTTGCTTCTGTTGCTGTTGCTTCAGCTGCTGGCGCTGCATATTTTGCTCGAGTATGTCGCGATATTGACGTTCACGATTCAGTGCGCTGCGCTCCTGATAGCTCGGCGCCGCCAGCTGCCATTGGCAACGTTGCTGCCAGATTAATTCATTGGTCAGCTGCAGCTTGGTGCTGGCCACGCGCATCAGGCGACGGCAGCGCTTCGGGCGCCTCAGCTCCTGGCAGTGCAAGTACAGGGCATAGCCCAGGCTCTCCATGATTCTATTGCCGCTTCTGCTCCCAAACTCGGACATTGTCAGCTGTCTAATTTGTCAATTGAGTAGATTTATTTTTGCTCTCACAGTGTGAAACACTTTCGTTGCGTGTCGCTCAACAAATGATGCAATTTCTGCATTGGCAGACAGAATTTAAAGGCTGACAGGTAGCTTTAGGCTGACAGGTAGATAAGTGACCCATTTTTGCCAGGTTTGAGTGGGTTGATGTGGCTACAGCTATGGGCAATCCAGGTCAGTGACTGGTGTCTTACAAAAAGGTGCTAAACTGTAGTTGGTAACGGAAAAAGGTGATTATTAAGAGCTCTTCATAGCACATGGCCTAAATCTTATATAACTTGCAAACAGGATCAACTCAAATTGTTTTTACCTATTTTTTTGCTAATTAAATATCGCATGTCTTGGGCTTGCACAGAAATTTTGCTCTCTAAAGTTAGGTTAAGTGAAATGGGAATAGAATATAGGCAGATTAAAAATATAATTCATTTTATGAAATAGGATAGAAGTCTTCAATTTTCCTTACTTGAAATGAGAATAACTACGAGGGAATTTACTTGGCTTAGTTTTATACTGAATGAATGCAGCAGTTGTGGATTTTCCAATAAGATTTTACATAGCATGAGATATTTCGCCAAAGTCTCTTGTTGTTCTAGCAATGCTATCAACTGCTAGTGTTAGTTACTTCTATAATTGTAACTTTTTTATGGTACATTTCCGGCTTTGGTTGCTTTCTGCCCTCCATCAACTGATCAGGCAATTAGCTGGCCAATCAAGTTTATATATAGCCCCTATTTCATCTGGCTGGAGAGTTCAGACTTTATAATCTAATCGTAAGCTCCGCAGCTTAGACAAATCTATGGCTAGCGGAAAAAACAAGCGCTCTTTGGCTTCATTTTTTGTTTGTTAGCTGGTGCTACCCCGTGGCTGTTGCTGATGCTGCTGCTGCTGCTGTTGTTGTTGATGCTGTTGCCATTTGCAAATGCGCTTTGCATGTTGCTGCTAATTGGCAACAGTTGTCGATTGGAAGAGTTTTTCTAGACGCTTTTGGTTCTAGCCTCGTTTACGTTTAGGTTTTCGTTACGTTTGGACGTGGATTGCATGATTAATGAACGCCGTTATGCTTTTACGAGCAGAGCCAGCTCTTCAACAGCGGCAGCAGCAGCAGCAGCAACAGTCGCAGTGGCAGTGCCAACAGCTGCCATGTAATTTGAGCGCATGCGTCGCTGCCTCTGCCGCATCGCTGCCTGGGTCTGGGCCCAAATGTGAGCTGTTGCATAAGTCGGCATTTGCTGTTTGTTGTTGTTGTTGTTGTTGCTGCTGCTACTGCCGGCACCTCCATAAAACTGCGCACAAGAAACAATAAAACACCAGCAAATTAGAAATTACCTTTTATGTGCAATACGAGGCAAGCAAACACACGCAGAGACCGAACAACAACAACAACAACGACAGCAGCAATGTAAAAAAAATGGTAACAAATTTACACACAATGCACAGTTGGCCAGAAGCGGTAGCCATGGGGGGCGGGGCAGGGCTGATGGTCTGCCTGGTGCGTGCGTTACGTCAGCCTCAACGGCAAGCAGACGCCTCATTAAGGCAGGCCAGCGCTTCGCTACGTTAATCGGAACTATATAGATAAAGCTATATCCACCATGTGTGAGGCGGAAATTAAAGCTGCCCTAATGGGCGCTCGTCGTGCACAGTTGCAGCTCAAAGATGCAAAGCTGCAAAGTTGCAAAGCTGCAAACGATGTAAATGTAGCTGCAACTGTGCGCAACGCTGAGCATCTTCAATTGATGGCTCAACTCTTGGCAGATCTACAGCTAATTAAGCCTGTATGTATACATTATATATAGCTAAATAAAGACAGAGTATTACTGGTATATAAGTAAAACTTCTGCTGTACAAAAGTCAGCTGATGCTCAAAACTTTTGTCAGCTGCCGTTGCATTACAATTTTATAACCGAAAATACGCAAAAATGTAACTCTTTCTACCTCTACCTCTACCTCTCGCCACATCTACCCACAACCGACTCTTGCTCTGCTTCAATAACAAACTTTTTCGGCTCTGGTATGAAAAATTGTATTTTTCGCAAAACAAAACAGGAACAAAATTGCAACTAAAAATAAATATAACACATAAAGCAACTACAACTGGCCATCCGCATCAAAATGCACATAAATAATAAAAATAACCAGTAACAGGAACCAACACATAGCATAGGAATGGCATAGCATGGTATGGCATGGCATGGAATGAAATGGAATGGAATCATCATCATCATCATCAGCAACAAACAACATTTAAAGGTTTTTGTTTCGACAACTGTTAATAATAAAAATAAAAATAGTAAAGCATAGAGAACTAGAGCTGTCTGCTAAAATTATGAAATTAATTTTCAAAAATTTTAATTATGCAACACTGGCTGCAACATGCAAATTGAATACAACATCAAAAGTTGCCACTAGTCTACAATTGTAACTATGTGTGGTGGTAGCTGGCATAGAGGATTAGAGTTTTCTATAGACAGAGAGAGAGTGAGAGAGAGAGAGAGAGGGATTTAGGGGCAGACAGAGAGCATATAAGCTTAGCTACAAACTGTGTAATGCATAGATGATGGAAGGTTGAGACCAGAAATTGAACAGAGCGAGAAGGAGAGATAGATGAATAGAGCAGAGCAGAGGAATTGAATTGTATATCAAAATATCAGACAGGTATGAGAGCTGTTTAAGCATCTGATCTTGATTTTAAAATAATATTCTTTCAATTTTTATGGGGACTATTTTCTTTTGAAAATGTATTTTGTTTGATTTGTTATATTTCATATATCATAAATATATTTGTAGATAAATGAAAATACTATATACATAGCTCAACCAATATAATATTGAACTATGTCAAGAGTATACAAGCTGTGATCTGTTATTCGCTTAAAATTTTCAACTCTGTCCCTTACAGCATGTTTATGCATAGTATTTTTTCGGTTTTGTTGTTGTTGCTATTTTAGTTTCAGTTTCTAGTCGAGCGTTGGCCACAGTGGCTGTCATTAAATTGTGCGCACGCATACTCTTATGCGTGCTTAAGATACACACATACAGACCCACTCGCACACACACGCTCACACACACATGTGCGTGCCGTGGGAATCATTGTGGACAGCGGGCTTTGGCTACCGCTGCTCAACTTTGATTAGAGTTAAGCCCTAAATTAGTTGCCTCTGTTGGACATTGGTTGGCGACCTTTTGGGGTCCCATAGTCAGCGTTTGTTTACCTTTCGCTTTGTGGGGCATAATAATCAAGTCATGAGGTTTGCAACGCACGCACACTTACACACTCACTCATATGCACATAAATCGTAAGTTCTTAATTAGCATGTCGAGATGTCTTGATTTGTTGCCCAGCACGAAGCAGATTTGTTTTTTTTATATATGTTAATAAGAAATATTTAGCAAGGCCATAAGAATTATACTTCTTAGTTATTTTTGGGCCATACAATATAATAATTTGCATTATATGGGGAGCTTAGCTGATACTAATTGCAGCCATAACCAGATATTAGACATGATAATGAATCGAAATGAATTTAGCTGAAGAATTAGAATATAAAAGATAATGTAATTAACATAAATCAAATTGTATGAGATATATGTATAACAAAAAAATATTAAGATGAAATATAAAATTTAAAATATAAAACATAAAAAATATAAAATATAAAATATGAAATATAAAATATAAAATATAAAATATAAAATATAAAATATAAAATATAAAATATAAAATATAAAATATAAAATATAAAATATAAAATATAAAATATAAAATATAAAATATAAAATATAAAATATAAAATATAAAATATAAAAATTAAAATATAAAATATAATAGAAACAATGGCTTAGCTTAGCTCTGAGCTGCATGATAATATTTAATGGATCTCACGTAATAATATATACATCGATAGGTATGGATAAGAAAGCCCTTAAAGTGCATTTCAGATTCGTGGATTTCCTTTTCTGTTTGTCTGTTACATGGTCCAAGCCAAAGTGGCCAAAGGGGCGTTATTAATGTGCCACACGCTCTTGAAACAATTCAAGTGTTAATCGTTCTGATTCAGCCAGCTGACAGGCAGACAAGCACGATAACAACAACAGTAACAGCCGCAACAACAACAGCAACAACAACCAACAGTTGTTGGCTTAAAGGAAACGGGAAATGGCAATACGATAAGTTGGCTCTGGAACTTATTAGCGCAGAGTTTAATAGGCTCAATTAATGTCAACTGCGTTGCCTTAAGGCCAAGTGAAATTTTCGCTCTATTGTTGTTGGCATTTGTTTTTTTTTTTTTTTGGGATTTTTTCTACGCCAACAGCGAAACGAAAGTTTTCTTTTTGTTGTTGCAAACAACAACAAAAAATATATTAAATAAAACTTTTCGAATTGAACATTTGTCCAAATGCATAAAAATTAATTAACAAGTCTCAGCTGCGAGCAGATGATTAAGAGGAAGCAGAATTCTTTTTTTTTTGAAAATTGAGCAAAGAAAATCAAACAGAATCTGAAGCAAAGGCAGCAACACCAACAGCAGCAACAGCAGCAGCAGAATTTTTAATTGGCTTTTCAAGCAGATTCGTGTTGCTGTTGACGTTGGCGTCGTCTTTCGCACATTTAAGCCTAATTAACTTTCTACTTAACGCTCAGTTTTCATGTACTGAATGAATCTTAGCTGCTCAGCCTGTGCATTTGGCATTGTTTGTTAGCCGTTGTTATTGTTGCTGTTGCACTGCGTCAACTTCTAATTTCATTTGAAGTCAGCGCGTCCGCTTTGATGCCACGGCCAGGCGTTGTATGCTGCTATGAAAAGGTGAAAAGTAGGTGAATGTTAAGCGGCAGCCAAGACTCAACATTGTTGTAAGAAAAAAATAAAAAACAGTAACAAGAACAACAAAAGAAAAACGACACTAACAACAGCAACAGCAGCAGCTCGCACAATGACGAAAAGTAAACAACATTTAGCGCAAATGCTGAAAACAACGCACACAACAACAACAGCTACAGCAACAGCAACAACAACAACTGGCAGGGAAAAGAAAACGTGCAAAAGGGTTATACAGTCAGCAGCAAGAACAGCAGCAACAACAAAGCGGCCAAAAACAAAAGACAAACAAAACAAAGCATATCAACTTGAAATGCTACACCCAAAGCCCACTCGTAAAGCTACCTCGTAAACCCCCAATATAAGACGGCTCTATGCCAGCTATTGTTGCTGTTGTTGCCATTGCTGCTGCTGTTGCTGTTGCTGTTGCTATTGATGTTGTTGCTGTTGTTGCTGCTGTAGCTGTTGCTGATGGCGCTGATAACTTGACTGTATGTAAAGTCCATTGCTGCTGCCTTTGCCTTTGCCTTTGCCGTTTGCCTTTGTCGTCTTCGTCTGTTGCTGCTGTTGCTTCGCCCTCACCGGAAGCGCATATTAAGCGTTTTTAATTTCCAGTTTCGCACAACTTCAAATTGTTTGCCAAGCAACAACAGCAACTCAAAAGAAACTGTTGCTAGCACATTTTTTCTATTTTTTCTCTTTACTTGCTGTATATGGACATATATAGATTTATCAATCATAATGCAAGGTTAGCTTGAAGAGATGCAAATGTTTTTGTTTTATTGAATTATAAGAGCAACAGCAGATGCAAATATAAGCTGCATATGCAGAGAATCATATTTCTTTTTGAGTGTATTTATCTTAATATCTCGAGTATTTTCCGCAGTCTAGGTTAAGGCTTTGGCTCAGCTCAACATCCATATGTATATGTATGCTGTGGATTTTTATGAAATTTATTGTTTTTGATTTGACCTTCTTTAAAGCAAAGTTAAATCTTAAAGAGTTAAGGATGAATCGCCACTGAAATATCTAGCATTGAATGCTGATATTTAATTTCTTAATTGCACAGCACAAAATACGGTTGCAGTCGGGTGTAATTGACTATGTTTATAAAAAATGTGTAATGTAGACATTATTTTCAACATACTTTACTCATCATTATCATAGAATTTTCGTATCTCAGCTCTAGACGAGCTACGACATCTGCTTCTCACGTTTCCATCACTAGTTGACAAAGTAGACAATGGCTGGCAATGAACACAATTCACGTTGTTGCAGCTACCAAAGAGACAGCCACAAAGGGACAACAACAAATGACAAGCAACAAGCAACAACAATAACAGTGATAACTAACATGCATGACAATTCACGTGGCTTTGGAACCTTTTTTGGCTGTGATCTTTTCGCAATCTTCTCTTTGTTGTGCGTTTTGTTTCCTGTGTTGTTATTGTTGCTGCTTCTGTTGAGTGTGAGAAATTTAATTAAATATGTTTATTTTTATACAATTTGATTGTATTTTGTTTTGCCAAGGCAGAAAGAGAGAGTGAGAGAGAGAGAGAGAGTGAGAGAGAGAGCGAGAGAGAGAGAGAGAGAATGCAGCTCTTAATTTGCCTTTACATAATGAGTGGCGCTATCAAAATTTAATTACAATATTTCGTGTCGCCGTTGGCCATTTGTGACCCTGCCTCTAGCTGTCTGCCTGCCTGCCTGACTGCCTGTTGCAATTTTTTTGCTGTCCCGACTTTGACATTAATCATTCGCTATTTTGCGCTGGCCGTGAGGTGTTAATGATGAACCAGCCAGGTGACAGTTGAGCTGCGCAGCTTTACCTGACCGCCGGAGCTGTGTGCATAAAATATGCAGCTCTGGCGCACGCATTTGACGCACGGCCGATAAATTTTCCAATTTTAACGATTCGCTGAAAATGTCACACAGATTACGTGACTCCGATGCGATTGACATAGTTGCGAGATTTATGCGTGAGCTGCAGTGAAAACCAGGCAGGCACACAGGCACAGGCACAGGCACATGACCATGCCCATGCCCATGCCCATGCCTAGGCCTCTGCCTACTCCCAGAGCCATGCCCTGAACCCTAGACCGAGCAGCCCAACATTGCCTGACTGCCTCTGCCTCTCTCGCATGAACGTGCGCAGCGAGCAATTAGAAAAGCGACAGCGGCAGCAACAACAACTACCATGACAACAACAACAACAACAGGTAGACAGCGGCGCCCACAACGACAGCTAATTTAAATGCCGCGTGTTTGCCCAGACCCCAGACCAGACAGTTGGTCGCACTGGCTCGCAGTTCGAGTGAAAGATCACGACCAAAAAGTTGGCTGCGTTACCAGCAACAGCAGCAGCAACAGCAACAACAGCAACAGCCACA